AACTATTAAATAACTCTTAGGTAAAAGAGTAAATATAAACTAAAATTAATTTCTAAAATAATAAAACACCACATATTCAGTTGTATAGTACACATTTAAGGCAGTGATCATGGAAGAATTCTGAACCTTAAATATGCTTATCAATTAAAATAAAATAATGAAAATAAATGCATTACATTCTCAACTCAGAAAGCTTTAAAAAAAGCACAAAGAAGATTATACTAAAGATAAAAGCAAAAATTGATAAGGAAGAAATCAGAAAAATTATAGCTCTAGTTAAGAAAAGACATTTTCCAGAAGTATAGAGATTATTTGCACACCTCAATGGACATACAGTCATCAATCTAGATGAAATGGATAATTTTATGAGAAAATGTAATTTATCAAAATTGACATCAACAGATATAGAAGGCTTAGATAATCCAATCTTCATAGAAGAAACAAAGTTATTATGGTACTTCCCCACACAAAAAGCACCAGGTTCAAATAGTTTCACAAGCGAATTCTACCAAACACTCAAAGTACAGATAGTCCCAATGCCACATAAATTGTTCCAGAACTTAAAAAATTAGAAAACTTTCCAATAGATGTTTCTTATAAAATCAAGTACAACACTGTTACCTCAATCTGATACTACATATTTAAAAATTATAGATAATATCATTTATGAATATTAATGCAAGAATACTATTAAATAAAATATTAACAAACAAAATCCAGTATCACAATAATAAAAACAATATGCCAAGTGAAATTTATTTCAGGGATTCAAGAATATTTCAAAAAGGCATCTGTAATATAAAGAACCATACTAATAGATTTAACCAGGAAACACATATGATTATCTACAAATGTTAAAGTCTGAGAAAATTCAACATTCATTTCTGATAAAAACATTCAAGAAAACAGGATTTGAAAGATGTTTCCCTAGCATTGTTTTTGTTTTAAAAAAAAGACCTGAGTACTGAAGCCAGCACTTTACTAAAGAGTTAACAAAAGTATCATTTTCACAGATTAGGAGCAAAATAAGGATGCCCACTATTTCCACCATCATTTACCACTGTCCCTTAGCTACTGCAGTACACAAAACAAAGAAGCTAGTGATACAAGACTCAGAAAACAAAACTATGTCTATTTGCAGATGACATGATAGGAAAACCCTAGAAAACCAATGCTAAAACTAACTCAACCAAGGTTCAGAAAGGTAGCAGAATATCAATATAACACACTGAAATCAGCTTGGCATCAAAGTGGTGACCTCTAGGACCGCTCACAACAATGAGAACTCCCTAGTACCTCCGCCACCAGTGTACCTGTCCTCACAGAGAGCCAAAGCCACCCCCCACACCCCCAGGAGATCCTCCAAGACCAGTAGGGCATTTGTTTACTCACTGCTCACTAGAGGGAGGCCTTTTCCAGATGTATTCCTTTCCAGAGACTTTGTTCTTCTGCATGGGAAAGGGATTCCTCCAAGGCTACTATTTGGTTTACTGTGCTGAATACCCTGCTGAGGGGTACACAGACATACAGTTTAGCCGTGGTGTCTTCTTATCTATTTTGGTAATGGGAATCAACATTCATAGTGACTGTAACGCCTCCAGCTCAGGAAGCCTAGAAAAAATCATCTACAGGATTCTACAAAGTGGCTTGTTCACGTACATTTCTGGAATCAATTTCCTTTCTGAGATCACTGAATGGATGAGCTATGTCCTGGCCACTTGGTCTCTTCTCAGCACTTATACTTGCATTTTTTTTTCTCACTTTCTTTCCTTGGGCTGTGAACCTTTCACCATCACAGGTTCTACCTCAAGATTTTGAGGACCACCCCAAGTCTCAGAAAGCCCTCATTCCATTCATCTTTTAAGGAAACCAAATAAAAAGGGAACACAGCTCCCACGATCCTGTGGAAAACCATAAAGCTGCTGAGACTGTAACTTTTACAGTCCCACTGCATATATGTAAGAGTTGGCCTCTGGAGTTCGGGCAGCTAACCTAAAAATTCTGCAGGGGCCCCCTTCATTTTTCCTCCTACCCTCCCAGGGGGGTCTCTGTCCTGATCTGTTGAAGCTTCACAACGCCCTTTTTCACACAGAGACATCTGCTTCTTAGCCTTTCCTCCTGAAAAGTAAAAAGTTACCTATGTATTTTATCCTTTGGATGATGCAAGTACAGGTGCTTTTATACCTGCTCTGTATCAGTATAAGCTCTGTAGTTGAGAAAGTTTTGAGTTGAGGGCAGTGCTTAAAGAATTTATTATAGGTACACATTTGATTAAACTAACCAGCAGAGATTTAAATTCTGAAGCTGCACAGACCCAGAGCAAACCTCCTCCCAAATGAAAACCCACTCACACTTTACTTTTCCATGGTTAAAAGTGAAAGATGGGAAATAATTAAGTAGACTTTTAATAGAGGACCCTCTCTTCATACTGCTAAACAAATGCAACAATGCACTGACTTCATTTAAAATTTCTGCTTTGTCTTAGTGCCTCTGTCTTCCTGAAGATTCCACAATCACTGCTAGAGATATTGAAGGTTAATCCAGAAAGCTGATATGGGTTTTACCAAAGGCCAGGTTTTAATGATCACAAGGAAGAAACAACTCTGGCTGACAACAAAGAGAGGAAAAAAGTGTTTTACAAAATATTGCAAATTCTCGTATTCTTAGAAACCATGGAAATATCCAAATAATGAGAGCGCCAAATAAGGAAAATTACCAAATAAGAGCATATGCCGTTTGCCATGACGAGACACATACAATGATGGTGAAGCATCCCAGAAGCAACTTTTCTCTTCTGGAGTTTCTGCATCACAATCCTCAGGAACTGTTCAGCAAGGCATCCTCTAGTGGTGCCTTGAACTGCAGCTCTCAAAAATCCCAGGGGCAGAGGTTGAAAACTGCAACCAGAGGGATGCCTCCAGGCAGAAAATGTGCTTTGTTTGGCTCCAACAGTGTTTCACACATAGTTTGGTTTTCTTTTTTATTTTTTTTACATTCAAAGTTTCCAAAATTTAAAAATTAGGTTTCTATATTCTCTGGTTTCCTTTAAAAAGTTGGAGGATCTGGGCCTGCAGAGCCCATTAAGAACTGTGACTGATCAGCTGGTTCAGTTCAGTTCAGTCGCTCAGTCATGTCCAGCTCTTTGTGAACCCATGAACCACAGCATGCCATGCCTCCCTGTCCATCACCAACTCCCAAACCCGTGTCTATTGACTCAGTGATGCCATCCAACCATTTTATCCTGTCGTCCCCTTCTCCTCCTACCCTCAATCTTTCCCAGCATCATGGTCTTTTCAGCTCTTTGTATTAGGTGGCCAAAGTATTGGAGTTTCAGCTTCCACATCAGTCCTTCCAATGAACACCCAGGACTGATCTCCTTTAGGATGGACTGGTTGGATCTCCTTGCAGCCCAAGGGACTCTCAAGAGTCTTCTCCAACACCACAGTTCAAAAGCATCAATTCTTCGACACTCAGCTTTCCTCACCGTCCAACTCTCACATCCATACACGACCACTGGAAAAACCATAGCCTTGACTAGACGGACCTTTGTTGGCAAAGTAATGTCTCTGCTTTTTAATATGCTGTCTAGGTTGGTCATAACTTTCCTTCCAAGNCCATATTCTTGGATTGGAAGAATTAATATTGTTAAAATGACCATAATACCCAAAGCAATCTACAGATTTAATGTGATCCCTATCAAACTACCCATGACATTTTTCACAGAACTAAAACAAATAATCCTAAAATGTATATGAAACCGTAAAATACCCAGAATTGCCAAAGCAATCCTGAGGAAAAAGAACAAAGCAGGAAGCACAACCCTCCCAGACTTCATACAACATTACGAAGCTACAGTAACCAAAACAAAAATAAACAAATGGAACCTAATTAAATTCAAAAGCTTTTACACAGCCAAGAAGCCATAAACAAAGGAAAAGACTATCCAAAGAATGGGAGAAAATATTTGCAAATAAAATGAATCTCCAAGATATACAAACAGTTCACCCAGATACATATCAAAACAACAAACAACCCTATCAAAAAAATGGGCAGACGACCTAAATAGAGACTTATCCAAAGAAGGCATACAGATAGCAAAAAGCACATGAAAAGGCGCTCAGTACTGCTGATTATTAGAGAAATGCAAATCAACCTACAATAAGGTATCACCTCAGGCCAGTGAGAATGACCATCATCAAGCAGTCTACAAACAGTAAATGATAGAGAGGGTGTGGAGAAAAGGGAACCCTCCTCCACTGTTGGTGGGAATGTAAACTGGTATAGCCACTATGGAGAACAGTATGGTGATTCCTTGAAAAACTAGAAACAGAGCTACCAGATGATCAAGCAATTTCATTCCTGGGCATATATCCAAAGAAAATCATACTTTAAAAAGATACATGCACCCCAATGTTTACTGCAGCACTACTTACAATAGCCAAGACATGGAAGCAATCTAAGTGTCCATCAACAGATAAATGGATAAAGATGTGGTATATATACACAATAGAATACTACTCAGCCATAAATATGAACAAAATAATGCTATTTGCAGCAACACAGAAGGACCTAGAGATAATCATACTAAGTGAAGTAAGTCAGACAGAGAAAAACAAACATCATATGGTATCACTTATATGTGGAATCTAAAAAAAAAAAAAGATACAAATGAACTTATTTTCAAAACAGACTTACAGACTGGTACTAAGTGAGAAGATCTCAAATGTTTTCACCACAAAGAAGAAATGGTAATTATATGATGTGATGGAGGTATTAACCACCCATCACTTAATGATATGATAGTAGCCATTTTGTAGTATATAATTATACCAAATCAACAAGCTGCACACCTTAAACTTATACATTATCTATATCTATTATATATATATCTACATATCTATTATACAACATTATCAATTATACCTCAATAAAGCTGAGGAGGGGAGAGATGGCCTTGGAAAAAAGGCAGCACTGTAGATATTTATGCCATATATACTTACGTTCCTGCATTTGCATTTGACTGAGAGCTTAGAGAGTTATCCAACTCATTCTCACTTTCTTCTGACTGACTGTTAACAGTTCCTTCTTGTTCATCATCATCTACTTCATTAAGAGCCTTACAATTAAATAACAACATAGACCGGTTACATACACACTTATCTTTTGTTTCTTTTTGTAATAAGAGAAGAGAGGTCCTTCCTTCTAAGGCAAATTCCTCCACACGTGGTCTAGAAACCAAACCCTCTTATCTCTTCTGGTCCATCAATTACCCATTCTCTCTCCATTTTCAACCTCTCCTTACTAACTTCAGTTCACCCACGTTTAAATGTGAGTCTCTCCCATCTTATCCTGATCCTATACTGACCTTGAGCTATCATTTACCTTGCCTTTTTGTGCCAAAAACTTTTTGAGAGATCTACCCCCACTTCTCATTCACCATATGTACCCTTCAGCTTTGCTTCTGCCCTGCCACTCCATGTAAACTGTTCTCTACATGGTAAACATCAACACACTTGTTATCAAACCAAATGGGTACTTCTGTCTTTGTCTTCCATTACTTCTCACTCATTAGATATCAATGGCAACTCATTTCTTTCCTTCAAAAATCTTCTTTATAAACTTTTCTTTTTCATTTTGTGATACCATTATTTTCTTGGTTTTTCTTCTTCTTTTAGCCATTCCTTCCCAATCTCATTCATTGGTTCTTTTTCTATCCTTCCCCTCTGTTTAATGTCATTCTCCTCTCACTTGACGCATTTTTGATGTTTACATCTAATTCCAAGGTGCAATTACAAGTCAAATGCTGTTAATTTCCAAACCTCTGTCTTCACCCAGATGTCTCTTGAGCCCTCAACATTAATGTCCAACTGCCTAAAAGATATCTAGAGGAGAACATCCTACACATAAATACCTATCATGTCTAAAATTTATCATTTTCCTAAGCCTCCCTTATCATTCTTCCAGAAACCTTGTTCCTGCCATATTATTAAGACCATGAACAGCATAACCATCTACTCAGATTCTCAATCCAGCAGACTGGAAATTATCCTTCTTCTTTACCCACCACATCCAATCAGTCACCGAATCTTGTCAATTCTACCCCTTTTTAAGCTCTCAAATCTATCCCTCTTCCGCTTTACCTCCTTCCCTACTGCCACTACTTTGGGTCAGTCCTCATCACTTCTCACCAAGATTCCAATCTGAGTCTTTTAACAGGACCCTCTCACCAGGCTTGCCCCTCCCTCCCCAATCCATTTTCCACACTACTGTCAATTTCACCGTAACAGTGCTCTTCTTAAAATCCTTTAGCAGCTCTACTCTTGCTTTCTGGTTCATTAGCCCTTCATGACCCAGCTCCTTCCTTTCTTTCTAACCCTGACTCTTGCTACTTCCCCACCTTCATAACATGATTATCTGAAAGCTAACTTTGTAATAACTACCAAAACATACATACATATCCCTGGCTTTTGGCTAGGGATATGGTTAATGGGCTTTAGCTATTAAAAATATGTACAACATTCTACTTAACTGCCTTTACAAGTAGCAAACAGTATACTTATATGATTCTGGACTTTGTAATTCCCTAGGATCATCCATCTAACTGATGATTCTCTTTTTTTTCATAGAAGATACAAATAACTTAGGAAATTGCATTAAACAGGTACTGAGTCCTGTGTGTGCTTGCTCAGTCACTCAGTCATATCCAACTCTTTGTGACCCTGTGGACTATAGACCGCCAGGCTCCTCTATCCGTGAGACTTTCCAGGCAAGAATACTGCAGTGGGTTGCCATTTCCTCCTTCAGGGGATCTTCCTAACCCAGGGATTGAACTCGTGACTCCTGCACTGGCAAGCAGATTCTTTACCGCTGAGCCACCTGGGAAGCCCATCCATATATACGTAAGTCATTCAGTCGTGTCCAACTCTTTGTGACCCCATGGACTATAGCCCACCGGGCTCCTCCATCCATGGGATTCTGCAGGCAAGAATACTGGAGTGGATAGTCATTTCCTTCTCCAGGGGATATTTCCGACCCAGGGACTGAACCCTGATCTCTTTACATCTCCTGCACTGGCAGGCGGATTCTTTACCTGGGAAGCCTATAGTCACTCATAAAAAGTTGATTTATTTTACTAGTAAATTTTTCATAGCCTTTAAAAAATGTTTCCTATCTCAAAATTCTAAAGATTTTAATAAAGAATTCTGATTAAGATACAGCTAGTTAATGTTTTATTACTATGCTTTTCCCATGTAACTAGTAAATAAATTCTAAGTTTCTTGGGTAGCTGCTTTTTAAACATACTAATACATTAGATGGAGAAGGAAATGGCAACCCACTCCAGTATTCTTGCCTGGAGAATCCCATGGATGGGGGAGCCTTGCAGGCTACAGTCCATGGGGTCACAAAGAGTCGGACATGACTGAGCGACTAAATAACAATAATACATTCGAAGGGACAAAGATTTAATGAAGGACTAGCATCTGGTTTTATGCTAGACACTTTATATAACCTATCTCAGCTAATCCTCACAACAACCACAGCAGGTATACTCTATTTCCATTTAACAATAAACACTGAGTCAACTTAGATACTTGAGAAATCAACTCAATATCAAACAGCTAGCAAGTAACAGGACATGAATATCGATTCACCAGAGTCTGTAGTGGGACACAGACTCATTGCTGTTTCCATATTTGTAGATGGTGGCACAATCTTATGGCACCAGCCTAGATTTGAGTGCCATCTCTCATGCTAACTAGCTATGTAAGCTTGGGCAAGTCACTTAATTTTTCTGAGTCTCAGTTTTCTCATCTGCTAAATGGGGATAATAATAGTAACTACCTCCAAGGTAATCACTCAATACAGGTTAGCTACTATTCTCCAGTCCTATCTTGTTTAGTATAAGCATTACTCACTGAAAGGGCGACATGCTTGAGTAAGAATATTTCTAGCAACCACATCTTGGTATTTTGATATTAAAGCTTTTGAAATGTTTACCACAATACCTATCTACATCAACTTAATTTTAGCATGAGCATTATGGTTGTGAGCAAAGCACATTACCTGAGGCTCTATAACAGATTCGCTACGGATGGTCTGGGTGACAGGGTCCTGACTGACCACAATGGGACCTTTAGAGGACTCCGGAGCCATTGTTACATTCAGAAATCCTGCAGAAGGAAAATGAGCCATGATGATTTTGTTTCATTTAAACTGACTTCACATGCACTCTACACTGCCATAAGTGAATCATCATATGAAAATTTTTAATAATAGCAACTCACATTTATTATAACATGACACCTAAAGGAAGACTTTAAATTCTTTCAAATAGCCAGGTGTGGGCTGTGGTTAATAAGATAAAGAAACTTTTGTTTGACGTGAATAGTTTACCTGTGCGCCTGTGAGGAAAATCAACAAACAGATCTTTTGCTGTAACCATCAAATGATCAGATTTTTCCAATACATCCTGCAGCTGGTATTGATCAGAAAGAATCTAGACGTGTTAATGATAAACATTATTATTCAGGAAAATATATATATATATATACACACTTATATACTCAACAAATCACAAAGGAAAAGCCTGTTCAGGAGCAGGAAAATCATCTAAAATCCTCAATGGCAATATTGTTAAGTACCAGTAGATGGGGCTATTACAACAATTTGTTGTTGTTTAGTCACTAAGTAAAATTGCTCGGTCCTGTCCGACTCTTTGCGAACCCGTGGACTGCAGCCCATCAGGCTCCTCTGTTCATGGGATTTCCCAGACAAGAATATTAGAGTGAGTTGCCATTTCCTATTCCAGAGGATCTTCCCAACCCAGGGATCGAACCCACGTCTCCTGCATTGGCAGGCAGATTCTATACCACTGAGCCACTACAATAATTAGTGGATTTTAAATGCTTGGCTTCAACCCAAAGAAATGCATTATTAAAGTATGACCCAGTCTACACACAAATGTAAAGGTAAATGTAAATATACACCAAATAAAAGTTTTCCTTAACCTTACTCTTTGAGAACCACTCTTATACTTTCTTTTTATTTTCTATTTTTCAAAAGATGGTTTTAACCCACTAACTCCGTTTTATAATCCATAAACAAGTTGTGATCCACAGTTGAGAACTCAGTAAACATATGAATCTTTGAGCCATAAACTCAGATGTGTGAATCGTTAGTGCTTCAACCACTAGTGATTTCATAATCCACTAATGGGTCATGACTCACAACTTAAAAAACACAATGTTAGACATGAGTTTGGGGGCAATAAACAAAAAAGCGATGCTTCTGCATTTGCAAACAAGCTGGTTTGCTTTTTTTTTAGACACGCCATTTTTATTTATTTTTTTATTTTGTACTGGAGTATAACCAATTAACAATGTTGTTTCAGGTAGAGAGCAAAGGGACTCAGTCACACATACACATGTATCCATTCTCCTCCAGTTTTTATCCTGGAAAAATGAGAACTCAAAAAATACCATTACAGCAGAGTCTCTGATCATGTAGTTTCAACTTAGGAACTTTCCTAATTACAAGCAAGGATGCACAGAATAGAGTAAAAGACGTGAACTCTACCCACCACCACCAGATGGCATTCTTAGGTTGAAAGGAGTTTCAAAATTGGAAACTGCCCAGTTTCCAACACTGATTCAAATCAAAACATCTGGGAAAAAATGCTCTTACCAGAATTTCTCTGAACCATGAAAACAAGATATAATATGACCTTGGTTATTGTTTTCTGACATGAAGAAAAATAACGAGTCACATTATTTTTCCCCTTCTTCCCCTGCTAAAGTCAAGCAGGTTGGCTGGCTCAAGGTAGTGAGAATAAAGTCCTAAATCTGTCCTCCCACAAAGAGTAAGCTTTGGAATGGCATAATGCAAAGAGCACATTTGGAGTCAGAAGACTGGCATCCTAGGCCCAGTCAAGAGATACCAAGCAAAATCCAACCTCTTTAAACTTAGTTTCCTGATATATAAATGAAGTACAACCACTTCCCCAACACACACGGTGTTATAAGGTTGCTAACACACTGCAAATCTGTCTACAACTCTCCGGATATCTGAGAACATGGTTACAACTTAAATTTCCATCCCTGGTTAGCCATCTTGCAGTACATGCAATAAGAGTAATATACATGTAGCATTACATGTTACATTACATTATAATCTACCACTTATACTAGAAAAATTATACAAGGTATATTTCTTAATGGCAGTTTTAAAAGTTTACTGTTTTAATTTTTTAAAAAGGCACCGACCTCCTATCAAATTAAAGAAACATAAATTGTCAGAAGCAGATTGTTGAGGAATAACATATCAAGACCTGATGTGTTCAACATCGCTAATTATTAGAGAAATGCAAATAAAACTACAATGAGGGAATACCTCACACCAGTCAGAATAGCTACCATCAAAAAATCTACAAATAATAAATGCTGAAGAGGGGGTGGAAAAAAGGGAACCCTCCTACACTGTTGGTGGGAATGTAAACTGGTGCAGCCACTGTGGAGAACAGTATGGAGGTTCCTTAAAACAGGGGTCCCCAGCCTCTGGGATCTAATGCCTGGTAATCTGAGGTGGCGTCGATGCAATAATAACAGAAATAAAGTGCACAATAAATATAATGTTCTTGAATTATCCCGAAAACATTCCCCCACCCCTGGTCTGTGGAAAAATGGTCTTACATGAAACCAGTCCCTGGTGCCAAAAGGTTGGGGACTGCAATCTTAAAAAACTAGAAACAGAGCTACCATATCATCCAGCAATCCCACTCCTGGGCATATTTCCAGAGTAGATGAAAACTCTTAATTCAAAAAGATACATGCACCCCAATGTTCATATACATGCATAACAATAACTTTGCTGTATACATGAAACCAACACAGCATTATAAATCAACTATATTTCAATTTAAAGAGTTGTTTTAAGACCTGATGTTAATTATAGTGAGGTCTCCAGTAAATCCACTGTCCTGAAGCCCTCTCTCTGCTGGTCCCTGCACAGGCTCCTGGTGGCAGATGGTTTCAGTGGCCAGAGGTCAGTGCAATGGTTTTCTCTTGCTCTTTCTGGATTTCTTTACCACTTCTCTATGATAAAACTCACCCTTATGATAGGAAAATCAATCTCTGCAGGCCCATCTGTATATATTACTTCCCCAGATGGGTTTGCAGAGCACAAAGCCAAACTTATGAGTGGTACTAATAGAACATATCTTGGACTTTCAAAAGATAAAAGTCCCTTAAAAAACAGTATTGGAAACTTCTCATGCTAACAGTTTTGTTCTCTGGTAATAAAAACCAGACAGCACTGGGAAAATTTAAGGAGACTATAAGTTAGTTACTATACTGTTGGAATGATTAAAATCCTCATCAAAGCCTTGCTGTCTCTGATTTGGGTTTGGACCCTTGCTTGCTTGATTCCCACAGCATGGGTGCATCATACAGCAAATGAAATCTAAAATTACACTGGTCAAAGAGCTTTTCTCTTAATTTAGGTTGATCTAGGAGCCCAGTTTCTTGGGGATGGGTGCTGGTAGCTCTAACACATCATGATGACACCCAGGTGGATATGCCCAAGGAGGCCTCTTCGGTTGATCCCTGACATCCCTTACAGACATAATACAGCAACACTGAAATAATAGATGTATGTATCCTTTGACTCAGCAATTCCACTTTCAAGAATTTATCCTACAAATCTATTTATGCATGCATGCTAGGCTAAGTCGCTTCAGTCATGTCCGATTCTGTGAGACCCTATGGTCTCATAGTAGCCCGCGAGGCTCCTCTGTCAATGGGATTCTCCAGGCAAGAATACTGGAGTGGGTTGCCATGCCCTCCTCCAGGGGATCTTCCTGACCCAGGGATCAAACCCACATCTCTTATGTCTCCTGCATTNTCCTGACCCAGGGATCAAACCCACATCTCTTATGTCTCCTGCATTGGCAGGCGAGTTCTTTCCCACTAGAGGCACCTGGGAAGCCCCAGATATATTTATTTATACATGTACTCAAAAACATATTCAAGGATATTCATTACATTATTTCCATGACAAGGCAGGAAATAATCTGTGGGTGACAGACACACTACTTACCCATCAATACCCTTTCTTTCCATTTTCTCCTTAACAGGGAAACTCCCAAGTTAGCCAGGTACACAGCTAATTTCCCAACCACCTTCATAGGTGAGAACGGTCACTTGATGAAGTTTTGGAAAACGGATAGAAGCCAGAGCTTCTGGGTGATGCATAAAAGGAGCAGCATGTACTATCTTACCCTTTTCCTGCTGCCTGGGAAACAGCTCAAGGAAGCAGGAACAACCACTCTGCAGTCAGACATGGATGCCCTGTAATAAAGGACTGGAGAGCTCTCTACCAACTACCATGTGCCTCTGAGTTGTTCCATACGAGAGGAACAGATTTCTATTTTGTTTAAACCACTATATTCTAGGCCCTTTTTTTCCCAGATGCTGTACCATAGTCTAACACACATCCCAAATGTCCACCAATAAGGCACTAGATAAATATATTGTGGTGCATCCATATACAACCTCGCCAATAAAAAGAAAAGGTAGATTTCTAAACACTAATACAGCAAAACCTTCAAAATATGTTATTAAATGGAAATGTCTAAATCCCACTAATAGCAGAGGCTTTCAACCCTAGTGAAATGTTAAAAATTACATAGCAACAGTCTAAAAAATACCTAAGAAGGGCCACATCCCAGATCCACTGAGCCAGAATATCCAAGTATAAGTATGTCTGAATCCAGATACTGCTTTTTGAATGGGAATTTTTTTTAATGGAAATTAGAATCAGGGTTGAGAAACATTACATGAGAATATGAGGAAGCAGCATTACAGAGACAAGGCAAAGAAACTTCACTCACCCTCTCTGATCACTCCTCTTCAACCCCTAATTCTACCACATCTACTAGGTATAAGAGATTCGGGACATGAGCAGGGACCACTAGGGAGGGGAAACAAAAGCCCAGAGTCACCTCAAAGTGACTTTTGGGTGACTCAAAGTCATCCTTTTCCCTGGCCAGATCTGTGTTCTTAGCTCTTTCACGGAGAATTACCACATAATATTCAAAAGCACATGACTTATCTAAGATCACTAAAAGATACATACCTCTAAAGAATCATTCTCTCTCAATCCATTGTTCTTTTTACAAGCTTGTCTTGAGCATTTATTTGGGAGATATAATTCTTCTCATGTTATAGAAAGTCAAGACGTTCATATTTCACTAGGAAGCCTAACAAATTCCTCAAAAGACAGAATGTGACTTGAAGCTACAGTAGGTCACCCAGACAGACAAGTGTCATAAGCTCCAACACTGAATAAGAAGAAAAAGGGCATTTCTTTTACAATGATTTCAGCCCAAATAAAAAGGGTTTTCTTCTGTAGTTTCTTCTTATTTTCCATATTGCTTATTCCTGCACACGATTCCTTATTCAAACACCCTACATCTGGCAAAAGATTAAACCAAATAAAAGCAACTGACAAGCACACTTTTTTTTTTGCAAAGTAATTTAACAGCATGGCTGTTGAACTGAAAAAAACAATTATAGCAGCCTAAGTATGTATATAGCACTAATTATGTGCCAAGGACCATACTATTCACTTTATTAGTATTTTATCATTGAAGTCTCATAATAATACAAGCAGGCAAGTAGTGTTATTTCAGTTTAAAATAAGGAAATTCAGGCTGAGAAGTCAGTAATTTAAGGTCACATGGCTAGTAACTATGTGAGCTAGTAAGAAAATTTTGACTGTGACAATAAGTTCTTTGCTCCTAAAACATTCATTCAAATATACAGCTAGTAAGCTGTAGAGCAGGAATTCAAACTATGAAACTAGACTGTAATCCTCACTCTGCTCCTTTATCCAAAGACCACCTGTACATCACTGTGTGCCGATGTGCGTGCTCAGTCATTAAATCATACCCAACTCTTTGCAACCCCATGGACTGTAACCTGCCAGGATCCTTTGTCCATGTGATTTTCCAGGCAAGAATACTGGTGTGGGTTGCCATTCCCTTCTCCAGGGAGATCACTGTATAAGGACATGACAATGATTAAAGTCTCTCCAACGTCAATAGATATGTGGGGAAAGAGAGACACCTACTTTCCTCTTTTTTGCTTTCTAACTCTGTGGATAATACAGTTTATCATTACCTCCTTCATGATAGACAATCTCCTTTTCTCCAGATTAGAAATTTCTGGTTTTTGTTTCTTCCATTTCCTCTTCAAAGCTTTTTCTTGGAGCTCCCAGTGGACCAATGCTCTATTCTTTGATTTGTGTATTTCATGACGACGGATCTATATAGAAGAAAAAATATATGAAAGAATGTTTCAGGAACGAAGAACTTATATTCACAATCAAAATTTTCACCAACTCCTAAATTTTCAAAAATGATTTTTTAAAAAAGAAGTATCTAAAACTAGTAGACCTAGAGAATTCCCTGATGGCCCAGTAGGTAGGATTCCAGGCTTTCAACTGTTATGGCCCAGGTTCAATCCCTGGTCGGGAACTTAGATTCCAGAAGCCACAGGGCGTGGCCAAAAAATAAAATAATAAAACAAGCCAGCAGACAAAATAACATGTCCTCTGGGCTTTGCTTTAAAATGCTTCAGTGAAGAAGTAAGGGGTATGATAAATGAAACAACTATGGCAAAATTTTCACAACTATTATATCTAGGTGAACAGTATATGGTAGTTCTTTTTACTTTTGTCTCTAATTTCACGAGTTTGAAATTTTTCATAATACAGAATTTTAAGTCAGTTGGGCATCATTATTATCCTCAACAAACATTTAATAAGTACCTACTATGATTAAGATTCCTAGGCCCACAAAGACGTATAAGATATGGCCTTTATCCATCAAAAAACATTAATAATATGCCTAGAGAGATTGGACATATACATATAAAGATACATGCCATGCATAGATGACATATACTCAATGTCTTATGTAGCTAGTAAGTACAACAGTTCAGAGATGAAAGTAACTGTTGGGCAGCTTCAAAGAGTAAGACTTCAAACTTGCTACGAAACTCAAGAGAGTATCACACTAGCATAAGGATACACAAAGATCTATGGAATATAAATTTGAGTCCAAAATAAACCCTCATATTTATAGACAAGTGACTTTCAACAAGGGTGCCAAGACAATTTAGTGTGAAACGAACAGTCTTTGTAATGGTGCTTAGACAACTGGATATCCATTTGCAAAAGAATGAAGCTGGACTCCTACCTCACACCTTACACAAAAATTAACTCAAAATGGATGAAACATAAGAGCTAAAACTTTGAAACTCCTAAACAAAAACACAGAAGTAAATATCTGTGAACTATGGTTAGACAATGATTTCTTAGATATGACACTAAAGATACAAGTGACTAAAAAAATAGATAAACTAGACTTCATAAAATTTACAACTTTTATGTTTCAAAGGATACCATCAAGAAAGCAAAAACACAACCAACAGAATGGAAGAAAACATTTGCAAATCATATATCTGATAAGAAACATCAAGAATATATAAAGAATTATTACTCAATAAAAACACAAATAATCCAATTTTACTTTTATTTTATATTTTATATCCCTCTCTTCACTAAGCCCAGTTCATAGTTGTCACATATTTCCTCTGACAATTTTTAAATAGTTAAGGGATTTGAACAGACATTTCTCCAAAGAAGATACTACAAATGGTCAATAAGTATATATAAAGGATACTCAACATCATTAGTCATTAGGGAAATCCAAACTGAAACCACAATGAGATTCCATTTTATACCCTCTAAGTTAACTAAAACCACAAAGATGATAATGACAAATATCAGCAAGGGATGTGGAACAAATGGAACCCCCATACATGCTAATGAGAATGTAAATAGGACAGACACTTTGGAAAATAGTTTGGCAGTTCCTCAGAAAGTTAAATATAGAAATATTATATGACTGAGAATTCTACTTCCAGGTATACACTCAAGAGACTAAAAGTATATGTTCACACAAAAACTTATACATGCATATTCATAGCAGCATTATTTGTAACAGTCAAAAAAATGAAAACAACCCCAATGTCCCACAACTGATGATAAATAAAACATGGTATGTCCATAAATGAAATAGTATTTGGCAATAAAAAGGAATGAAATACTGATACATGCTATAATATAGATGAAACTTGAAAACATTACGCTAAAAGAAAGAAGCCAGATATAAAGGGAAACATATTATATTGCATGTATATGAAATACCCAGAATAGGCAAATCCATAGACAAAACAGATTAATTGTTGCCAGGGATTGGAGGCGCATGGCTCAGAAAGTGACTGTTAATGGCTGAAGGGTTACTTTGGGGAGGGAGTGATGAAAATATTACAAAATTAGAAAGTGATGATGGTTGCATAACTCTGTGAATATGCTAAAAAGCCATGAATCACACACTTTAAAAGAGTAGATTTTATGTTACGTGAATTACATCTTAATAAAGCTGTTTAAAAAATAACAAATCTATAGTAGAAACTTTTTTAAAGTAAAACCTGAACTAGGATAAAGAAGCAAAGTAAGATTTGAACAAGAGGAGAAGAGTGTAGGGAAACCATTCCAAATAAATAGAATAGCATGACCTGGGGCTCAAATGTGGAAATATACATGGCAAGTTCAAGGAATAAATTACTATGTATGTTTGAATATGGAAGTAATGGTGAATAATGCTAGTGTATCTACAGATAGGAAAAAATGATAAATGTGGACAGGACAATACTGGACTTAGATCTGAACTGTAAACTGAACCTATCTAATGAAATTCTAATATATGCTAATTATTATTCCTAAATAAAATAAGGCAGCCAAGGACATACACTTTTTGATTCTATATAGACGTAAGTAAGATTAAAAATAACTGAACAACTTGCAAGATGCCTTCTATTCTGTAAGTTAAAAACCAAGTATCAAGTAAGACATTGAACAAATGACTTAACTTTCCATAGTAAACTTACCAGATCTTCAGGAGTTGCCCGATGAACTGTCAGATCAGTCACAGTGTTCTGCAAAAAAAAGATGAACTTTCTTTAAAATGCAAAAGGTTTCTTACAAAATAGTACTACACGCTGGATTTTAATGGCTGAAAATGGATTCAAAGTCCTAAGACCAAAGAGTCTTTGAGAATTAAATTCTCAACTTAAAGATTAACATGGATTACTTTTAGTTGTCGTAAAGAAAATAATAACTATTAAGTGTTTCAGAGAAATTAAGCACTAAATTCAACAAGCAGGCATACATCACTTTAAAACAAAAAATAAAACAGGGTAGCATGTAATTCAAAATAGGTTAGTTTAAGTAAAGTTATAGTTTTCAAACTATATTCCATGGAACAAGGCAATACTAAAGATTCCTAAAAGATAAAGTGTGCTCAAGAGAGGTTCAATTTGTGTCCATGCCAACACTTTAAACATAGATCCTATCATAACAAGAGATGAATTTGGAGGGTACTGTGTAACTTCATAAGTTATGAAAGGACAGAGAGGCCTAGCATGCTGCAGTCCATGGGGTGACAAAGAGTCAGACACAATTTGGCAGCTGAACAACAACATATCTTCATTAAATGTGAAAACAGTCATTCAAGTAAAAAGGCAACAAAACAACATGGCAGGGCTTCCACACAATTCCAGGAGGCTCTGTCAATATCCTAGCCCATGTAAACAGCACCCACTGGAACTCTGCAGTGTACAGCCTGCACAGCTCCAAGTAGCAGCCTCACAATCTGGCCCTTTCCAAAATGACTTCAGACATTGTGTTTGGTAAGGCAGGAAACAAAGCAATGTAGTTCTAATTCCAAGAGAAATAAAGAGAACTGAGTCTAGTGAAAAACTTCTGATATACTCCAAGACCTTACTTTTGCACCACAGGTAATATTTAGCTCAAGTCTTTTATATACTAAAGCCATTATCCTTTCACAATGATTTAGCAAAATACAAGGTACAATAAGATCATGAGAATTATTTTTAATAACTAATAAAAATTCAGGTATATAATCGTATGCTTAGAATTATTTTCATGGGAGAAAATATAATTTCATTAATACTATTATTGCTTAAAATTACAGTTGACTCTTCAATAATGTAGGGCTTTTTTAATTTATTTTTAATTGGAGGATAATTACTTTACAATGTTTTGTTGGTTTTTGCCATACATCAACATGAATCAGCCACAGGAATACATATGTCCCCTCCTTCTTAAACCTCCCTCCTACCTCCCACCCCATCCTACCTCTCTAGGTTGTCACAGAGCACCAGGTTGAGCTCCTTTTGTCATACAGAAAATTCCACTGGCTATCTGTTTTACATATGGTAATGTATATATTTCAATGCTATTCTCTCAGTTTATCCCACCCTCTCCTCCCCGCACTGTGTCCAGAAATCTATTCTCTATGTCTGCATCTCTACTGCTGCCCTACAAGTGGTTCATCAGTACCATTTTTCTAGATTTTATATATATATATATATATATATATGTTAATATACGATATTTGTTTTTCTCTTTCTTACTTCACTCTGTGTAATAGGCTCTAGGTTCATCCACCTCACTTGAATTGACTCAAATTCATTCCTTTTTTATGGCTGAATAATATTCCATTGTATATATGTGAACAACATGAGTTTCAACTATACAGGTCCACTTATAAATGTGGATTTCTTTTTAATAAATACATACAAAAGTGCTACAAGATCCACATTTGGCTGCATCCATGGATGCAGAACCACAGATCTTGAGGGCCAACTGTAAAGTTAGATGTGGATTTTCAACTGTGCACACAGTCACTGCCCTTAACCCCACGATGTTCAAGGATCAAGAGTATTTTCTCCTGAAATTGCCTTTAAATCTAATTTACAAGCTATTTCAGAAAACATCTCAATATTTTCACCACAACAGTTTTATTCAGTTCATCTCTCTCTCTCATTTACCATTCACACCAAAAGACCTATAACTACTTTCAAGTTCAAAAAACAAAGTTTCTTTCAGCACTGGAGAGAATACAGAGTAAATGAGGAAGGTTCTGAATGCAATTTCAAATGATGGCTTTTAATTATACTTTGAGCAACAGCAGCATATCAAATTAAATATGGAATTTCCCAAAGTAACCACTCAGAAGGGGACAGCTTTACATTATCTATGCTATTTTTCCCTTTTTAATCAGTTTCATTACCTTAGAGTCACATCCTTCTACTATTTTACAACCAGATGACAACAAAGCAATCTAAACAAAGAGAAATCCATCTCTCCCGCTTTCTAAGGCTGTCAGTTTTCCCAGGAGATGTGGCTAGAGTGATTGGCTACAACCCAGAATATTCTAATTCCAAAAGAATCCCTAAGATGCATACTAGTCCCTGACCAGTCACTCTCCACAGAAGAAAGTAAAGGCACCTAGAGTCTCATGTCTAAATCAAAGAACCAGGCTCCAAAAGAGAAAATCCCCTTGATAATACCACTTGGTACTCAGGGTAGGAGTCAGGGATCATACCTCAGGTGCCTGAGGCTTGTCTTGTATCTTATGAGAACCTTTGTACTGAAACTGACCAGTCTCTGGAAGTGAGAAAAAAACAATTTGATAATAGAGCAAGGACTACCCAGTGTTTTCAGTCATAAATACCAATCCCATGATTATGGTATCACAGGTTGCTATGGGCAAATCTAAAATATGTTCCAAAAAATTTCACACTTCAGGCTAACTAAAGTTGTCTTAAAACAGTGACATAAGTTAGCTAAGAGTTGCCTTAAAGCAGTGAGTTCTCAAAGTGGAGGTAGGGGGACTTTTTAAAAACACACCCCCTACTCCTTTAAGATTTCAGTTCTTCAAAGGAGGTGGAAGTTATAGCCTCAACACATGTATTCTTTAAAAACTCCCCAAAGGCATCTGCTCTTCCCTCCAAGACCTAGGCTATCACATGCCCAGAAACACATTCCACTGTATTGCATGCTAACCCCATTCAGAGAACCATCCTGAATGCCTAGGGTCATGTCATCATGTCTGTTCCTTCCATGTAATGTTATGTGTGTTAGTCATTCAGTACTGTCTGACTCTTTTGTGACCCCATGGACTGTAGAACACCAGACTCCTCTGTCCATGGAATTCTCCAGGCAAGAATACTGGAGTGGGTTGCCACTCCCTTCTCCAGGGGATCTTCCTGACCCAGGGATAGAACCCGGGTCTCCCACATTGCAGGCAGACTCTTTACCAACTGAGCCACCAGGGAAAACCACATATTATTCTTCCTAGACTTACATCCCATTCTTGCTTCACAGATGTTTTCTTCTTTACTTTCATTGTTTTCCTTCCTCCTCCACGGGGACCATAACGGTTCACTCGGACAAAAGACATCTAGGAGTAATAATCATATCAATTTTTTTAAATGCATGAAAAACTAATAATCATCACCAGAGAGGGAAAATTATATCTAGGAAAATAAATTTTAAAACATCAGAAGACATATTTAAGCATAATGAAAGAAATAGGCTACCAAAAGACTTGGCTCATTCCCTTCACAGTTATTAGAATGCTGACACTGATAACTATTATAAAATTTATATGTTATCATATGATAACTATAACAAGTCAACAAATTAAATATTATGTGACTAACAAAGACCTCCAGGAATGCAGCAGTTATGATCCAAAGCAGAGATTTTAGAACAATAGTCATAAGCTTTGTCGCCCTTTACACAAATTCTCAATGAACAGAGGAAATGTCAGTTCCATGTGAACAATATGAATGTAGGAGGAGAGCAAGAGATAGCTGGGGTTCGTTTTGAAGCATCTAACACTCTAAATCACTACTAAGCACATGTGTATTTACCTTAAAATAAAGGTGGCTAAATTTTGGAGAATGAATGAGTTATGATACCATCTCTAGTACATTTTTCACATAATACTAAATGGGTGTGATTATTGATACTAAGCTAGAATCTGAAAACTGCCAACAGTTGCTTGCCACTCTTAAAACAGCAATGCTAAGGGCACTAGACTAAACATTATACAAAATTAGAAAAAGACTCACACTGCCTGAACACTAGGATTGGAGAACACATACACATCTCTCCAAAGAGATTCTTAGTCCCTTTCACCTTGTGAGGAAACAGCAAGAAGGGGCTTGCTGTGAATCACAAAGAGGACCCTCACCAGAACATGATCATTCTCACGCCTTGATCTTGGACTTCCCAGACTCCAGAACTATGCAAAATAAATTCCTGTTATTTATAAGCTACTCAGTCTCCAACATTTTGTTAAAGCAGCCTGAATGGACTAAGACAGTAAATATCTATTGCCTTTTTTTCCCACCTTAATTTAGCCTAGCAAAGCAGGCTGTGATCATTCTAAGATGACTCCCAATGAGTTGTATGCGTGCCTGGTCGCTCAGTCATATCCAACTCTTTGCAACCCCATGGACTGTAGCCTGCCAGGTTCCTCTGTCCATGGAATTTTCCAGGCAAGAAAACTGAAGTGGGTTGCCACTTCCTCCTCCTGACCCAGGGATTGAACCTGCCTGTGTTCCTGCATTAGGAGGCAGATTCTTTACCACTGTACCACCTGGGAAGCCCCAATGAGTTGGGGCTACAATTCCCTCTCCATGAGTTTGGGCAAGACCAATGACTATCTTTTTGAGTCTGTTTTGCTTTTCCCCCTGTGACTTGTTTTATCCAACAAAATAAGGCAAATGTGGACATGTCATTCCTGTGATTATGTTATAAAAGTCTCTCTCCTAGGAAAATAGAACAGAAGAAATCTCTCCTGCTGGCCCTGAAGAAACAAACTGCCATGCTGTGACACTCGATGAAAAAGGCATGTGTCAAGGAACTCCGAGAGCTGTGGGCAGCCTCCAGCAGAAAGTTGGTCAGAAGTTGAGAACTCACAAAGCCCCAGAGAAATGAATCTGCCAACCTAAGTGAACTTAGCCTAGAGCAGATTTTTCCCAAGTTGAACCTCCAAATGAGAATGCAGACTCCAACACTTTAATCACAGTATTTAGCTAAGCTATGGATACTGTGAGATAATAAATGTGTGCTGTTTTAAACCACTGAGGTTGTGATAATTTGTTATTCAGCATAGAAAATGTACATAATCGTGTATGGATATGAGAGTTGGACCATAAAGAAGGCTGAGCACTGAAGAAATGATGCTTTCAAACTGTGGTGCTGGAAAAGACTCTTGAGCAAAGAGATCAAACCAAGAAGAAAATCAACCCTGAATATGCACTGGAAGGACTATGCTGAAGCTCCAATATTTTAGCCACCTGATGTGAAGAGCCGACTCACTGGAAAAGACCCTGATGCTGGGAAAGACTGAGGGCAAGAGGAGAACGGGGGGTAACAGAGGATGAGATGGTTGGATGGCATCATCAATTCAATGGACATGAGTTTGAGCAAACTCTGGGAGATAGTGAAGGACAGGGAAGCCTAGAATGCTGGGGTCATAAAGAATCAGACATGACTGAGCGACTGAAAAATGAACAGAAAATGAAAGCACTGGCCACCTCTAAAATCCAGCCTGTGAATGGTTAAGTTCACCACAGTATAACAAAGCTGCTGTCCCATCTCTGACTTTCCCTTCACCAACCAACTTCATGAAGGAGAAGCCTGTTTCAGCACTGGGATTTACTAAATCCCAGTTCACTTCAAACTTTTACAACACAGGAACTACTTATGTGCTGAAAAGTATTCTCCTGAACATTACCAATAATTGACCAAGGATCAGACTTTGTGGTCTAAGAAAGGGATTCTGTGCCACTTACAGATACCAGGTATCATAAGGAGCTATAGGTTTCATGCTGAAAATGTGAAACTACAGAGATAGGCTAATGGTTTACAGGGCTAACAAGTCAAATAAAAAAATTAGCATAGAAATTAATTAAAATTAGCATAGAAAATCTGGGTTGGGTTTCTTTGGAGAAAATCTAAAAACTAATAGCTTCCTAATTGCTAAAATTATTGGTCCCTATTCTCTGGCCTATTGGTTTCCTATTTCTCTGGCCCTTTCCATCTCTACAGATGCCCACTCCTGGAGCCTTGCCCCTCTTTTAGCTTCCATGACACACTTCCTCCTGGTTTCTCTCCTATTCTTTTCTCTTTTTCTTCACAGGCTCTGTAGGACCTTGTCACATTTTATGTAATCAAGGATCTTCACTCAGTTCTATGTCAGTCTTCTCTTCCTTCCATCGGACACCCTCTCTCTATGTCCAAGAATTGTTTTTGAGAGTCTACACATGCCAGGCCCTGGCTGGACACTGGAGACACAATAATAAATGAGTTTAATACGGTGTCAGTTCTCATGGAGCTTACTTTCTAGATCACCAAAAGGGGGTTCACATCTTCCCTCAGCAAAGGGGGTTCACATCTTCCCTCAGCAATCTCACCTACACCCTTGAGCAAAGCTATCAATGCACTGTGTACACAAATGCACTGTGAAAATGAGTCTCAAATCAAAGAGTCACACCTTTCCTCAAACCCCTAAAGCTTGTTTCTAACCTGGCTTCTGTGCACATCTCCCAAATATCTCAAATACAATATGGCCAATATATAGCTTAGCATTCATGCCACCTCCCCACCAATCTCTAGTTCTTGATATATAACTGGCTTGGTCAGTAAACGCTGCTGAATAATGCTGAACTACAGAATTACCATCCTTCTAGTTGCTCCAGTTTAAAACCTTAGCATCACCTTCCTGTCTCAAAGCTAATCAGATACCAGAATCTATTCATTCTTTCCCTCCAGTATCTCTCTCATGTCCCCTCTTCTTCATCTCTACCATGAATGCATTTTACATGTTCTCATTATTTCTAATTGATTTTCCTTTCACACATTCTGTCACCCACTTCATCATCCATCTATTACTCCAACAAGTATTTTGAAAGCACCTGCCAAGAGCCAGGCAACAGAGACAGCAAGGAAGTAGAATAACTGTGGACTCTAACAGAACTTAGAGTGTCAGACCACAATTAAATGAGCAATTGCAATAAAAGGCTAATGTTGGAAGGAAATTCAGTGCCAAACAAATACCTAACTTACTGTAAATAGCGAGAAAAGGCCACCTCCTTCAACTCCCCTAAAACTGTTTAAGCTGAGAGCAGAACTATGAATAGAAGTTAGAAGTGGGGGAAAGAATGCTACAGGTTGGGGGCGGGGGAGTGCATTTACAAAGGGTTTGAGTGGTTCTATTTGACTAACAAATATTTGAGAGGGTTAGAAAGAGGACGAAGAGAAAGGCAGAGGCCAGAACGTGGCCCTGAGCCCCACAGCAATTTGAACACAATCCTAAAGACATTCAGGAAACACTGAAAGGTTTTAAGCAGGGTCAATTATGATGGGATTTAGCCAACCCACTCTGGCTAGTGGGAAACTGATCAAAGGGAAACAAGACTTCTTTTCGAACACTGTCCCTCCAGTCATTCCTACCCAGATACACAGATAGAGTTTAGCTCTCCACACTTCACTACCTTCCTCAAAAGATTTTAACAGCTCTCCCCTGCAGAGAGGAATCCAACTCAGCTTGGCGCTCAGGCCCTTTCCTCGCTCCGGGTGGCATGGCTGACTTTTCCTTGCAGTCTTTTCTCCTCTCACTTCTCCCACACATCCTAAAACAAAGCTCTCGTCTTCGTATACCGTCCCAGCCTCTCAAGCTCAGCTTTGAACACCTGTCACACTTGCACTCCCTTTCCACGGGGTTAACTCTCACTCACTCTTCAGAACTCATTCAGGGGGACCCTCCTGACAAACCCTTTCGACTTAAACGATCCGCCGTGTCCCCAAGTACTCTGGGGAGTTGATCTCTTTCCTGCGTGATCGGAAATTCCTTTAAAAATACATTACGGCACATCAATCTCCAGCTCTATGCAGAAGTGACCGAAAGCAAAGCGCAGGCGCACACTCAGGATGCTCTCACACGTAGTGCGCTAGACACAAACACACCCAGACACGCATCCTAACAGGCACATGCACTCGCAAAACAAATGGAGTCGCAGGTGCATTTTGTATTAAGGATCTTCAACCCAGACGCCTGAAACCCCAGGAAACAGAGAGGAAGACGCCACCACCACTCGCCCCGCCCTGTAGCCCGGGTTCCTAAGACCCCGTGGGGCTGCACGCCTCCGCCCCATCATTGCAACCTGCCTTGTCGTTTCCCGACAGCTGCCTCCACCACGACTAAAACTTCAAGCTCCAGAACCTTCCGCCCCGCCACAAGTTAACTCAGCTCGCCACTTCCGGGATGTTGCCTAGGTTACCGGAGCCCCACCCCATTCTCTTGCGTATATCCGGCAAGACCAGGGCGCAGACGCCTCTCAGTTTGGTTTGTACTAGGGGATTACTAGTAGTAATAAAGTCGTTAAGTTGTGTCGGATTCTTGCGACCCCATGGACTGTAGCTTGCCAGGCTCCTCTGTCTATGGGATTCTCCAGGCCAGAATACTGGAGTGGATTGCCGTTTCCTTCTGGGGGGGGGGGGGGGGGGGGGGCGGATATTCCCGACCTAGGAATCGAACCCGGGTCCGCACTGCGGGCAGATTCTTTACCCTCTGAGCTATAAGGGAAGCCCAGGGGATAACTAGGGGATCTCGAAGAGTCCGACACGACTGAGCAACTGAATTTAACTGAGGGGGTTAAAAGGATTTTCTGTGTCCTGCCTTGGCCGGGTGTGCCCAGAGCAGAGTTCCGGGCAAAGCTTTGGAGGATGGGCGTGTAATAGCATTAGTCAGGTTCTTGTGAATTCTCGAAAAGAAAGATATAGTTCTCCACACCAAGCTTCACATACCACATTTACTTGCTTTCACTTGTGTTTATTCAAAAATGTTTATTAATACCTACCAGTGTGCCAGAGACGGTTACGGCGGGGTCCCTATCCTCAGGAAGCTTACTGTATAATAGGAAACAGCTATCAACAATACAAAGATAAGATTAAAACTGTGACAAGTGCTAAACATTAGGCATACTAACTAGATACTAAATTTACAGGATTATTTGAATTACTAGAAGGGCTGAAAAGCAGAGATGAATAAATTACCAAAGAAGGGTAAAGCATTCCTGCAGGGGGAGCCACAACTGCAAAGGTGTGTGGCAAGTGCAAGCGAGTGGAAGAAGTCCAGTATGTCTGGTGTTCAGAAAGCAGTGGGAATCTCCACACTGTTTTCCATAGTGGCTGTACTAATTTGCATTCCCACCAACAGTGTAAGAGGGTTCCCTTTTCTCCACACCCTCTCCAGCATTTATTNTACCAGTTCTACACAATCTATCCAAGAAGATAGAGAAGGAAGGAACACTTCTCAATTCATTTTATAATTCCAGCATCATCCTGACACCATAACCAAAGAAAACTGCAGGGACTTCCCTGGTGGTCCAGTGGTCAAGAGTGTGTGTTCCCCCAGCCCAGGTTGGGTGCATGAGACAAGTGCTCGGGCCTGGTGCACTGGGAAGACCCAGAGGGATGGGGTGGAGAGGGAGGTGGGAGGGGGGACCGGGATGGGGAATACATGTAAATCCATGGCTAATTCATTTCAATGTATGACAAAAACCACTGCAATGTTGTAAATAATTAGCCTCCAACAAATAAAAAAAAAAAAAAAGAAAGAAAGCAGTGGGAGCTTGATATAAGTAAGGCTGTCCTAATTGGGGGAAGCCAAGACAAGCAAAAGCTGTTTGGCCCATGTCAAGATCTTTACAAAGCATTTCATTGGCTAACAGTAAATTTGCTCCAATAATGCAACCTCCTTTAGCTCTTGGTTTTCAACTGAAAGGACACACCTGTACATGGGTCACCAAGTACATGTTCAATATCTTCTAGATGCAGAGAACTGCCTTCTAATAGTTTCTGCTCTGGTTGAGAAAGTTTGATATAGTTCTATTCAATGGTCAATCAATGTAATCATCCCCCTGCATGCATCTTCAACTCTCTGCCCTTCTCTGAGTTACTGTAAACTTGGCAAAACCATAGTCCTGAATAACTCAACACTGGATTTACTAAGTGCCTATATCCTTGCAGGTGAAACTGGAAGATGAAAAACACTCAGCCATGCTGAATTTAAATTCATGATCACAAATTTTAAGTGACCCTTTAAAGATGACTGAAGACCATATTATAGTTCTCTGCTCCATTAATTCTCCTACCCTCCTAGATGACAACTTTATACTTCCTCTTGTGCTCCAATATCTCTTCTGTCCTGAGTCTCAGCCAGTGACCTTGCTCTCTACTTCATTGACAACACTGAAGCTATATGAAGAAAATGTCCATAAGCTTCCATCACTAATTAAATCCACCTGTCAGCATCTTTACCCATGAACCTGCTTTCCAAACTCAACAAAATCTGAATATAAGAAACACAAACAACGTTACGTCAAGGTACATGATAATCAAATCCAGTGACAAAAAAATCTTAAAAGCAGTCAAAGAGAAGACATTACAGAGAAACAAAAATAAGGATAACAACATATTTCTCATTAGAAATGTTGCAAGCAAGAAAACAATACATTAAAACATTTTTTTAATGTATTAAAAGAAAAAAGCTGTTAACCTAGAATTCTGTATCTGTCAAAAATAAATTTTTTAAGTTAGGGAAGAAAAAATGCTTCCCCACATAACTAATAGAATTTATCACCAGCAAACCCCCACCCACACTATGAAAAATGTTAAAGTAGGTATTTCAAGCAGAAGGAAAATGATACCAGATGCAAATCTGGATTTATACAATGAAAATGGAAAATGGAAAATCTACACTGGAAATGGCTACAGGAGTAAATATATAGATTATTTTTCTTACTCTTTAAATCTTTTTAAAAAATAATTGACTACTTTGGACTTCCCTGGCGGGCCAGCACTTAAGAATCTGCCTGCCAATTAAGGGGACTCAAGTTCAATCCCTGGTCCAGGAAGATCCCACAGTCCTCTGAGCAACTAAGCCTGTGTGCCACAACTACTGAGCCTGCATGCTGCAGTTACTGAAGCCTGCATGCCCTAGAGTCTCTGTTTCACAACAAGCATAGCCACCACAATGAGAAGTCCACTATGTGAGAAAGCCCACATGCAGCAAGGAAGATTCAGTGCAGCCAAAAATATATAAATAATATTTTTTTAAAAAAATATATAATTGACTACTTAAACAAGTATAATAAAAATGTACTGTAAGGTTTATAATATATATAAGTAAAATGCATGGCAACAATAACATAAAAGTCAGAGGAAATATGTTATTGTAAGACACTTATACTATTCCCAATGTGTTGTAAAATTACTTGAGGGTAGATTGTGATAAGTTAAAGATATATGCTATAAACTCTAAAGCTATCACTAAAATAGTAAGAATTATAGCTCAGAAATGGTATCTATAAAAAGATATAAAATATAATAAAAATAGTTGATTAATCTAAAAGTAGGCAGAAAAGTGCAAAAAAAGAAATAACAGATGAGAGATAGAAAATAGTAAGTTAACAGATATATATTATTACATTAAATGTAAATAGTCTAAATACTTTGTCTATAACACAGGTGATATGTAGGCTTTAAATATGTGAAGTTTGTTGTGTGTCGATTATACCTCAAGAAAGCTATTTATCTGGCTTTCTCTGGGTGGTCCAAATATGAACCAGAAAACTCCCCAAGCCATAACAAGCCCCACTTCTGCTTAGCCCACCTCCAGTTTCTGCATCCCAGATTATAATCAGAGTATTTCTGAAGTCTTCCCGTTATTTCACCATTAACCCTTTCACTCCCTGTTGTCTGAGGCTCTGCCAAATGCAAATGATGCTTTCTATAACAAATGCTGAATTAATAGTCTATCTATTCTCATGTCAATAGTCTTTGTTTCCACAACTGCTTCTATTCTTTATGACACTTCTTTTAATATGGGGAAGATTCTTTTTCAGTACTACCTTGAGAAGAATCACTTTTTGTATGTTCTGATTTTTTAAATGTAGAAATGCCTAAGAGCACTGTGTGTTTAGTTGTGTCCAACTCTGCGAGTCCATGGACTATAGCCCATCAGGCTCCTCTGTCCATGGAATTTTCCAGGCAAGAATACTGGTGTGGGTTGCCATTTCCTACTCCAGGGGATCTTCCCGACACAGCAATTGAACCCGCATCCCCTACATTGACAAGCGGATTCTTTTACCACTGCACCACCTGGGAAGCCCAGAAATACCTAAACTGGGCTGTAAATCATAAAGATCTCTGCTTGGTAGTGAGGAGTAAAAAATAGGGAAGCTGGCAGACATGACCAAATCAGGACAATCCTAGGTAGATTGTTGCAGAGGTTATGGTTTGGCTTCCTGGACTGACTGCTACATAGACTGCGGGTCAAGTTCTATTGTTATATATCATCTGATCATTGTCTGTTTGAATATTCAGTCACAGATACCACCATGACTAGCAAACAAGATCTAGAGCAAATGCAATTTGTCCACCACTGATCATGTCAATGAGTTGAGAGTGATTTATATATCTTGTAGAGTTTACATCAAAACATTAGTTAATTCTGCCAAAGTTAATGATAAATTCACCTTACAGTCTTTTCTACTTGTATAATTCTTGTGTAACATTTTCTACTTGTATAATTCTCTCCATTGAGAAGACTGCTCTGATTGTTAGGACAAACAATGAGCCAGCATATTCTCCAATGAGTCAGGTACAGTACCTGAACAATCAAGGGTGGTCTCCTTTTGTAGCTTGTATCTGTGTCAGAATTTCCATCGTTGGTGGTTTCTAGAATTAAAGTCATAGTGCATAAACAAGTCTTAGAATACTATTACTAAAGTGCATAAAGTCATGGTCTAAGGCAAACGAGGCCATGTGTTCTGCCTGCAGAGGAAATAGCAGCCTAAAGGGGCACACGGAAATCCAAGAACAAAAGACTTTATCACAACATAAAGTCAAAACCAAGAAGTTACATATTTAGATCTCTACTAGTCTCTTCCAAGTGGCAAGTGTTTGGCCTGTCACCCTACAATGGCTATTGAATTCAAATTTAGAATTAGCCAGGACTGATCAATAAATTTTAATAATTGATTCTTTCTCTGGGAGAAGGAAAACTAGCAGAGACATAGGTTAATATGTGTAAGGTAATTTGTCCATGTAGGTGCAAGTGGAATAGTCATTGGCTATAATTCTCTATGATCTCATTTGATGAGACTAGAGTAGCCTATAGATTTTCATCATGAAGGTCTAATGATGAATGATGTATCCAACAGTCATTAAGGTTGAGGACAGAGGGTCCT